GCTCACTAAGTCTTAAGCACCACACAGACCAAAGTGAGGTCTTTGTACTTTTTCTTTAACCCTCACCCGAGGATATTTCCTCCATTGCTTCTCAGAGAGAGCGGAAGGGGGAGGGGGAGAAACATCGATGTGAGAGACACAGCCATCCGCCGCTCCCTGCTCAGGCGCCGACCCGGGCAGGGGATTGAGCCTGAAATCAAGGTACGTGCCCTTGGCCGGAATCGAACCCACAACCATTCAGTCTGCTGGCCGAGGCTCTAACCACTGAGCCAAATTGACTAGAGTGGGTCTTTGTACTTTTATTTTTAGAGAGGGAGAGGGAGACTTTAGAGAAACATCTATCAGCCACCTCATGCACGCCCCCTACAGGGAGGGGATCAAGCCCACAGCCCTTCTGTGCACAGGACGATGCAAACCTACTGCGCCTTACGGGCCAGGGCTCTTTGTACATCTTATAAAAATGTTCTTGGTCCCTTCTGTTGCAATAGGGAAGGATTCTGATTGCTGCCATGAGGGTCATATCCCAATCCCTGCAGCCAACTACTGGCTACACTGACGTCAATCATTATAGCCAAGAGAATAGGGTATTGTGCTTGGCTGGGACTTGCAGGGGGCAGGGAAGCAGTTCTCTAAAAGGAGGATGAGGCTCTGTTTACCTGAAAAAGGGACACTGGACAGAGACTGAGGAAAAGCCCCCACACAGAGCACAGCACTGCACATAAAATACAGGGGCATCTGCGTGTGTCACATTCACATCCCAGAAATTCTGAGAAATCCGTTGGCTAAATTTCTTAATCCTTTCAATAGAATTTTCGTCAATATGGGAGACTTTAGACAGTTCATTCTTAACTAAGTCAGGATATATTAATTTCCCTGGAACAAGATGTGTTGATTAAATGAGAAAAATGGTATTTTCTCCCTCTCTACCACTTCCCCTCTTTCTGCTATTGGGTTATCAGTAAAAATTTGAGTCATGATAAATGAGGTATAGTTTATTCACTATTTAAATTGAAAGTAGGTAACAGGTAAATTTTATTTTTAAATTATTTTAATTGATTAGAGAGAGAAACATCAACTTGTCATTCCACTTATTGATGCATTCATTGGCTGATTCTTGTATGTGCCCTGACTGGGGATCAAACCTGCAACCTTGGGGTATGGGGATGGGGCTCTAACCAACTGAGATAACTGGCCAGGGCTGGTAACAGGTGAATTTTAGAAAACCTATGCTACCGTGGCATTGCTGACCTGCTTACCACCCACCTTCAGCATTATTATGGAATTTGTGATGCTAATCCAATAAGACTTTATACTTAGATCTACCTTAAACAAAACACCAATCTGTATACCTTACATCCTCAGTATTTCCAAGCACTTGACTTTCTTGGTTAAGACAGTATCAGGCATGTTTTAATAAGTTGTCTTATCTCAGGCACCTCATTTAGTATAAGGGTTACAGTAATCATCTTTCGCCTCCTGTCCCTGTAACACGATAATGTTCGTTTTGGGCTTTCTGAACCCTCAACTATTGGATCAGCTCAGCCTAAGGCTTGTCCCACGCCTAGTGGGACCCAACTCGATAGTTCTACAGCCTGGTTTTGTCAGCATTTCCATTCCCACCCTGGTCTTTCATCCTGAGACCTATCACTGCTTGCGCATCTTGGCCCCTTGGTACACTATTCCAGTTCCTGAAACGGGTTCCACTGGTCTCCTGCCTGGTCTCCAGCTCCTCAGGACTATTGATTTCCTTGCCTTCTTGTTGCCTAAGGACTGGGTTCCTGCCCTTGAACTGTCGATCCCTCTTCCATGCTGCCTTTGCTGCCAAATGTCAGGTCTTCTGCCTGTCCTTCCAGCCCACCCTCACTGTCCTTGGATTTAGTTGCACAGAGCTCTTTGATGACTCAGTGAAAGGGATTTGGTGGGTAGATGGGCACTGAAGCCAGAGTGCACGCAGCTGGTAAAGACTCTCTAAAACAATACTTTGAAAGACTACAAATAAATAGCATGGGAGCTTATTTAAATGGGAAAAACTTGAGCATATTTATAGGTCAATAGGAATGACCCAGCTGAGAGAGAGCAGTTGGATATACTGTCGAGAGAGAAAGAATAGCCCATAGCACGAGGTTATGAAAAAGCAGAGAGGCTCCCGTCTTCTGCTAGGAGAACAGAGAGACAGAGAAAAGCGAACAGAAACAGAATGAGCAGCTGCAAGGCGAGACGCAGAAACAAGAGTTGGTAGGAGTCCTTACCGCCTGGGTTCCAATGCCCTGTGAGGCCCAACACTGTGAAGTATCTTAAGATACTGCCAACTGATTTCCCCTTTTTATACTAGTCCAAGCAAGTTTCTAAGGCTTGCACACAAGGAATTGTGACCATGATGTTACTGTATTTCAACTCATCAAACTTTTCAATGTTATTTTTAAAGGGCAGGCTCTTGACTATATTTTAAGAAATTCCAGCATCCTTAGTACATTTGGAGCAGACTACTTAAGACATATTTTTCATCTATCTCTAAACAGATATCTCACCTCCTCCTTTACAGAAAAAAATAAGAAGCCACTTCCTACAAGATATATCTTACCTCCTGGGGATTTCTGCTACATTCACATGGGAAAGCCTTTGAGGAAATACCAGCTGGGTGTGCTCGTGTGCTCCTCAAACAGGTTTCCCAGTTTTCTTAATCTTAAGTTATAACCTATCAATTCATTTAATAGTTTGGAAGGCCTCTTTCATTTTGGATAGGGGTTGGAGTCATCATTGTAAAAACATATTCAAATGGAAAATCCCAATGGTTTGCAACTACATTGTTTTTGCACACAACCACCAAGTTTGCTACCTGAGCTCGTTACCAAAATACTTGAAAATGCCAATACCCACAAATTACTTAGCAGCTCTCTCTGCCATTGCTTATAAAATCAGAAACCATTAAGCACATCTATATTTAAGTCTACCAGTCTTCTTTGTTCCCCAAAGTACTTTAACTGAAATCAAGTTCAAAAGAACATTAAAGTTATGTCTAAGGGAACCCAGGGACAGCAAGGTGGGCGTGAAGGGGACTGGGTGGGCTTCTCCATCAGCTGCGCTGTAGCTCAGGTGCGCGTGGGTCAGCGTCAGGACCTTTTGATATATACCCCTGCAGATTCTGTGTGTGTGTGGCTGTTTTCATCTTAAAAACTCAACCTTTAAGAATTTGAATTTCCAAACCTATTTTAATAAAGGGTTGATGCCAATGGTATGACTACAAACACTGAATTTTGACCCAAATGGGAGCTTCTTAATGCTGTTTCATTAATTCAATAATTTTCATTTCCTTTACCCAGCAGTCTTCTTCCAGTTGACTCCCAACTGTCCGAGTCAAACTGGTGCCACACGAGATTCCATTTGTTCTGACCCTGACAACTTTTTACGGCTTCATCTACTACCACTCCCCTAGCCCTTACCCTTGCACCTGCTGTTCCCAGGGCCCAACTTCCCTTTCTCATCCACTTATCAAATGCTCCATCCTTCAGTTTAAAAAGTGTCCACCTCTTCTCCAAAGCTTTTCCAAGAAGTTCTTTAGCTCTATTCCAAAGGGCTGAGCAGTCTTTCTCCATTGTTTCTGTAGCACTTAGAACATTTCTATTAGTGATTCCCTCCTGTCACATATGTATCTACCTCTGTCTCTACTACTAGATTTGCTCTCACAGGGCAGGGATCCTACCTTACCCACCCTTATATCCCTGGCAACCAGCAGAGTGCCTGACCAAGAGGATTCTGTACCTGTGGAATGAATGAATAAATGGGCTTTGTGTCTAAAACAGCGTGTCTTCACCTCCTGGGCAATTACTTGCCATGGACTCTGCTATGCTTCCTCACCCCAGATTCTGCCTACCACAGTATCCAACAAGTTTATGTAATCAACACCTGGCAAAACTTGCTTTATTATCAGTCTACATTTTCCGCTCTGCTGTTTTTCCTTGTCTACAAATTGGCTTTTCATTCATATCCTTCTTTATTTTTAATTTTCTTAAACTTATGGGGGTGACATTGGTTTATTAATGTGAAGCTGACCCCAAAGGCAAGATAACAGCAAAGCTAAATGAATGGGACCACATCAAACTAAGAAGATCTGCACGGCCACTAAGAAGATCTGAAACCATCCACAAGAGTGTGACCACCACACGGAAGAAGGTACCTGCAAACACCACCTCTGGTAAGGGGCTAATATCCAAAATGTAACAAGAACACACACAACTCAACAACAAAAAAACAAACTCATCTTTCTTCAGCATTTTAAACTTGAACGATGGGGTTTCCAAGCTGACAGTAGGGCAGTAACTCATATTGAGGAACTTTATGCTTATAAAGCACTACTTACACCTCATGGGAACAACTGGGTGAGGAAGGGCTGTTTTTTTTGTTTGTTTGTTTTTAAACCTCACCTGAGGATATTTTTTCCATTGCTTTTCAGAGTGGAAGGGGGAGAGAGAGAGAGAGAGAAACATTGATGTGAGAGACACATCGATTGGTTGCCTCCTGCGCAAGCCCTGACCAGGGCCAGGATCAAGACTGCAGCCAAGGTACATGCCCTTGATCAGAACTGAACGCAGGACCCTTTAGTCCGCAGGCCAACACTCTAACCACTGAGCCAAACCAGCTAGGGCAGGAAGGTTTTATTACACCAGTTGTGATCCTAAGGGTAAGGGCTTCCTCCTATCAGCCAGCCAATATATGGCCGAGTTGGGACCCAAAACAAATCTCCAAATTCCAAACTCAGTACTCCATTGGGGCTGAGTCATAGAATGCTTGAGGGCTAGGGAACCTGGACTTCTGTTCAGCAGACATCAGGGGCTGTTACAGAGACCATGAATCTCCAGGGACTTTAGCACCCTGGTATTAAAGGGGGGCTCCCAGTAGTCCTCGGGGAGCCCTGTTGTTCAGACTTTAATGAAACTTTAAGTAGACATGTAGGGGCCTTGTCTGGAAGGCAGTGAAGAAAGAGTTCTGAAAAGGAGGCAGAGGAAGAGACAGATCCTGAATTTACTGGAAGGGTATTAAAAAACAAATTAAGTAAATAAATATATTTTAGTACCTCAAGTAAAATAAAAAAAAATAAAAAGGTTTACGCTGTGCATTTTGGGCCTGGCTCTCTTGGACACAGCTGTTTCCAGCAGTTAACAAATGTCTTTTTTCCCCTAACAAGTATTTATTAAGTGTAATATGTGCCAGACTCCACAGAACAAACCTATAGGTACAAACCACCACGGAATAAATATCTAACAAACTCCAGGACCAAGCTGTAATAACGGGTGTACAACTTACACACCTCAGAGAAACGCTCACACACCTGCACCAGAAACATGTTAAAGGAATGTTTATAGAAGGACCATTTGTAGCAGAAAAAAACAAAAACAAAAGCTGGAAACAATCCAAATGGCACCAACAGTAGAAAAGGTGATTAAGCTGCGGCATGTGTCATGCCATGAGAATGAGCTCACTAGAAATCTGCATTTGGGTTATTGGTTATCAGTGTACAGATGACGTTAAAGCCATGAGACTCCAAGGGACTGAGGAGCAGCAAGTGGAGAGGCGCTCTGAAGGCAGCTCTACAGCATCCAACCACCTGGGGAGAGGAGGGGGAAAGAAAATGAACTAGTGTCACACATCAACACGAATGAACTAGAAAACACTACCAAAGCCAGGAAATCAGACGCGGTATATTCCCATTTACATAAAGGCAATGAACAGGAAACTGTCAACAGCTGTCAGCCAGGATACAGCTGGCCCATGAACAATATGGTTTTGAACTGCGCGGTCAAATTTTATGTGGATTTTTTCAATAACTACACACAGTACTGTAAATGTATTTTCCTTATGACTTGAACAACATATATAACATACAAAAATATATGTAAATCAACTATTTTATGTTATTGATAGGCTTCTGATCAACAGTACACTACTAGTCGTTAAGTTCTAGGGGAGCCAAAAGTTAGACACAGATGATGTTCACAGCTTAGGAGGGTCAGTGCCCCTAGGCCCTGCACTAAGGGTCAACTGTACGTGCATGGGTGGTAAAGACTATAAAAAGGTGGCGATTACTACAAACCTCTGGCCAGGGGCTGCCTCCAGGACCGGGGAGAGGGATGCAAGAGCGAGCACACACAGGTGGGGCGGGCCACGTCCCGCCTCAGCCTGAGCAGCGGACCCCGGACATCTCTTGTGCTGCCAAGTGCACACATACGTTTTCATTCGTATGACATTTCACATTGAAAAGAAAAAAGATTACGGGATAAAAGAAAAGCATTAAGGGTGACATTATGATGGCATCATGTGCACACAGTACATTGGAAAGGTCTTGCTTAACACCTTGCTGACTAGCCCTAGCCCGTTTTGCTCAGTGGTTAGAGCGTTGGCCTGTGGACTGGAGAGTCCTGGGTTTGGTTCCGGCCAAAGGCACGTACCTCGGTTGCAAGGTCAATCTCCAGCTCCAGTCGGGGCTTGTGAGGGGAGGCACCAATTCATGTCTCTCTCTCTCCCCCTTCCTCCCCCCCTTCCCCCCTCTCCACTGTCTCTGAAAAGCAATGAAAAAAATATCCTCAGGTAAGGATTTTCAAAAAAAACCCACCTTGCTGACCGGTCAGAAGGCTCATGTCTGCACTTACATTAATGTAAGTAATTTTAAACACGTTGCTGACCAGTCTCAGGTATCCAAGTGTGGAAAAGTAGCTGGCCACACAGGCGAGCTCCGGCTCGAAATAGCTGGTCAGCAAGGTGATTAAGTGGGTGATGGAAAGTGACAAAATGTGGAGCTGGAAGAAAATGGAGAGACCAGCACACTCCCTTCTCCGACCTCCCTCCTCGCCCTCTACAGCTCCACTGCACAGCTCTACCATAACCCTTACCACCCTTATCTGCTTAGAGAGTGACCTATGCCATTAGCTGTAACCTTCTCAAGGGTGGGGACTTCTCTTTATTCACTCGCAGTGACTAACGCATGGCACAAAAGAGGTTCTCAAAATTAAGTTTCTCATACAAATAAGTTACACGGTGCAAGTTAAGACTTTCAGGGTATGGTTAACAGCTCCCTGATAAAGGAATGACTGGGAAATGAAAGACCGTATCCTACCTATTGCCATCTCGTGGAGGCAACCTTCCAGGTTGGGGCGGGGAGCGGGGAGCAGCAGATGAGAACAGCTCCTGATTCATCATTGCTGCCCAGCCTGGGTCTTCCCAACTGGGAAACAGACATTTATGAAACATCCGATATATGCTAACACTTCACAGAAGTCATAATCCACCCAAAGACACTATAAAATACCAATCCCACTTTACAGATGAAAAAACTGAACATCAAAGGGAAAAAGCAACTCAGACAAACTAAGAACAGCTGCACTGGTCCCCAGGCGCAGCTCTGGAGTTTCCATAGCTGACACACATGGGACCATTCACTCAACTCTGGGGACAGGTGAGAGCCAGCATTGAAAAAAGGTTCGCTTAAGACACACGATTTTATCAGAAAAGCACTGAAACGACTAACCTTTTATTTTTATTTGACTTCTCAAGAAGGGTGGCAAAGTCAGGAATTGCCTTTGATGAGGTTTTACCACTGTTTCCTCTTGTCTGTTCCGAGGTTTTCCCATGAGAATGTTCACTCGGACCTGGCTGGTGTGTGGCTGGAAAAGTGGGTACGCAGTAACACTTTCCAACTTCTCTCTCTCTCCCCTCACTCCCTCTTGCTTCTCTCCTCTTGGTGGCTGGTTCTGGCTTTTTCTCAAGAATCTTTCCTTGAGCCTCTGCTCTGTAAGCTCTCTCCCTCGAATCATGCGTTCCTGGTGACCTTTAATTTGCATCTGCTCCCTCTCATTTACCTGTTTCCTTCTCTGTGCCTTCTGGACACCAGGCCCGTCTGGCACGATTTTTGGGAATGATGGTTCAGGAGGGGACTGCAGTAACTGTCTAAATGTTTTCTTCGTAAATTCTCTGACCTGTACTGCTCGATGCGTGTGCCTCTCTATGTGTCTCATCTCTCTCTCAGGTACCAAGTAGCACCGTTTCTGTCTCTCTGTGCTTTGGGTTGTCTTCCCTTCCAATTTCTTCTCAACTCCATTGCCTGTCTCTTGTTCTTTCAGCATGTCCACCAGTCTTTTACTATAATAAGACTCCACTCGGGCAAGCCAGTAGTCCAGGGAAAGATCTTGCTCCCTATAGAGTGTTTGGTACTCTTCTTGATTTTTTTGAGTTATCAGTTGTCTTGCTGCTTTTGTATGTACACCACCTAGATTCTATCAGAGGGAGGGACAGAATTTTATAAGGTGACCATATTTATACATTGAACGTATTTAAACAGGAGCTTACCCTGACTACTGACACCAAGAAAAGATGAGAGAGGTCTTTTATATACTTTGGTTTAAGAACTGTGATTTCACTCCCATCATTCCTAGGTGAACCTGTGAGCTCTGAAAGTTGAACTATCTACCACCAGAATCAGAAACTAGTTTTTTAAAAATATAGTGTTGGAAGTTTTCAAAATAATACTTTATTTTTCAAGTAAGATATAGCTAGAAAACAGTTGCCAGTGTAGACACACTACTTGACGGTGTCACTTCAGTAGAAAGATTTCAAACCTAAGGTTCTTTCCCTTAGTAGTTCCTAACTGTATGATGTGAAGATGATTTATTTACCAATATTTTTTTCTCCAGTGGGGATTGCTGACCTGAAGCAATCCTAGGGTCTCTAGATGCTTTAACCCAGGCCAACCTGAAACATAAAAAGCAAAGGTAGGTTAGAATGTGGGAGAGGTCAGAACAAATCTCACATACTGACTGAACCAAACAACCCAATTATCTGGCCAGGGCCATGGGTATTCCCGAGTAGAAAGAGTAAACCTGCTACCGGCAAGACCACCACAGGGCCACTTCCCCATGGAGGCCTGCGTGCTCCTACAGTGGACAATAATAAAATGAATGCCCTTTTAATAAGAGCATATCATCTTTTCATATAAATTAAAAGCATACTTCTCTTGTGGGCTCAACGCAAACCATTCCGAATCTTGTATCAGGGACTGGGAGAGGGGAGAGACAGGTTCCTTGGTGAAGCGTTGCCCACGCACACCTATATCAGACTGCTCAGTGCCCCAACCTCCTCTGTCTTCAAGAACTCTAGACTGAGCTGTTAGTTCATTCTCTTTCTGCAGTTTCTTGATCCGGGCCCTCTCTGCCTCTATCAGCAAATATAGCATCTCCGCCCTCCAACCTTTCGTTCTGAAATTCTGCTCCTCCTTACACTGCCACTCATCTTTCACCTTGAATCCATTATGACGCCGCTCCCTGCTGAAACCCTTATGATGGGAATTTGCGCTTACTCTGGGTTTATCTATAGGACAGGCTGACGGCAACACAAGTGATGACCAACTTTTTGTGCCATCCCTGGTCTAATCTAAAGTTCACTGTGAGGTCATATTTAAGCCACCAAAGATGCCTTGAATTTCATCTCTAAGTCCTTCGTTTAAAAATACTACTCATGGTTAAGAGCATGGCCTTTGAAGCCTGACGGGGCATGTGTGACTCCTACTTCCACCACTTCCTAGGTGCAGGACACAGGGCAAGCAACTTAATCTCTCTTTACATCAGCCCCCACATCTATACAACAGAGATATAAGACAATTATCTGCCTCTTGAGATAATAAAGAACAACTGTGAACTAGATGAAAGAGCTTGGCATGATGCTTGATATGTGCCAAGTTCTCCATAAATACCAGTTGTCTCTCCTCCACCGGTGAAGCCCCAACTCTATAGTCTTTCTGCTTTACTCAATGTAACAGTGATTTTGCCTTCTTCTGAACCTTAACATTTTTCCTTCTATGACTCATTTGAAAACCAATCATGGTTTACATTATGGTATCTGTATTCATATATCACTTTAAAAACTCTGACTAAAAGTCAGACTCATAAAGGGTGGGACTTATATCTACAACTCCAATGCTGTGTCTCTAGTATCAGAAGGGATCCTCATGTCAAACACTGGGTCTCACTGATGTCTTAGGTACATTCTTCTTTCTTACTGCTCACCTAAGGACATTTTTTCCCATTGCTTTTCAGAGACAGTGGAAGGGGGAGAGAGACACCGATGTGAGAGAAACACACGGCTTGGCTGCCTCCCTCATTTGCCCCAAACGGGGCCGGGGATCGGGCCTGCAACTGAGGTGTGTGCCCTTGGCCACAGTCGAACCCGGGACCCTTCAGTCCAAGGGCCAATGCTCTAACCACTAGCAAAACCAGCTAGGGCCTAGGTATGTTCTTATTTCCCTTACTATGTATATCTATTTTGACATTTTAAAAAAGAGCATCTTACTTTTATTTTTCTGTATATAGCACCAAGCACAGTGCTTAGCATTAGAGTCTGTGGCCCCAAGTCCTCGCCGCTGACTGCCGAGCATCACACGATACCTGAGCACCTGTCTCTCTCATGTTCCCCGTAACACTGTACCTACTTTTCATTAAAACACTCGCCAGTCTTCCTTGAGGTGTGCTGGCATGTTTGCCTTATATGCCCGTCCTGGCTTCTCACGTTGCCCTACTGGTATACTTTCATTGCATTTTCATTCCTCATTTGTACTTCCTAAGGTCCCAGAACAGTTTCCAGCTTTGCGCCGAGCCTCAGCTCCTAGGCGGCAGAGGCGCTGATCCACACTCGCCGGGCGGCGGCCTCCCCGGAGGGCCTGGCGGGAGGAGACCGACTCCACTCCGGGCTTCAAGGGGACGGGCACGCAGAGAAGCGCGGGCAGAAACGCCCACCCCAGGGCGGCGGAATCCCTCCGCCGGGCGCCGGCCCAGCTCCACCGCCCCTGCGGCGGCTCCGCCCGCGTCCCTCA